TTTTGTTTTGCTTGTGATATGGGTTTCGGCATGGTTGATTTGGCAGGCGGGTTGAGAATTGAGGTGAAAGTGTAGGGGGGGGGTCAGGATGTGAGGTGTGGGGTATGCCTATGCTTGCTATTACGCCTTGGCCTTTGTCAGGCGGCTGCTGCCAGCCTCTGGGCTCTCTCCACCTTGGAGCAGCCAGCGCTCCTGCCAACTCTGACCCGGCAGGTGCGTTGTAGACCTTAGATAATAATGATGGTAATGATAATGATGATAATAATAATAGTAATAATAATTATGGTAGTAGTGATACGAAGAAGAAGCATATTTACGCATAATATCAATAATAACAACAAGAATAATGATGCTAACATTCCTTCGGTCATGTAGGATGGAGCTAACTTCTCCCCTTGTCCAACAGTAGAAACTGCTTGATGTGGGTCGTTTTGTGGACCCATCTTCTGGAAGTTCGAGGAACGGTCGCCTGGACATCGAACCCCTCAGAAAGCGCTTCTGTCTGTCAACTCGCGTGCTCGCGTCTGCAGGGAGGTCAAGGACTGATGCTGTTGCCAGCTCCGGGCATTGAGTCCGATTCAAGTCATGCTCACTCGCATGTATAATCTGCAGTTTCGAAGGAGCCGGGCAGGTGACAAGACGGGATTTCATGAGGCATGGCTGGCCCATTCTGCCGACAGGCGATGCAATCAGCTCTTTCTCCATTGGAGTGGGCGAATAGCCCGAGCCTCGGCAGACCTTTTGCCATCACAGAACTCGCCAAACTCCAAAGGGAGCCGTACTGGGAGGTAGTCGATTTTCTTTGCATGCAGCAGGGCAATGTCTGTCTTGGCACCCAACGCAAAATGACAGTTAAAAGACATGACTCTAGCTTGAGCTCGGACCATGATTTCCCCTTATAAGAGCCATTACAGTGATTGCAATAGTAAAATTATTACGAAAGGTAGCAGTAGTAATATAGTAGCGTAGCAATACAGTAGTCAGATTACTATAGTTGTATGGTAGCATAGCATGATAATATAGTCTCATATATGTATGTATGTATATATATATATAGAGAGAGAGAGAGAGAGCAATATGGTACTTTGTAGTACTATGGTAATATGGCAGCAGTATGCCTGGGCCTTCTTTGTGTTTGTCCATTAGGCCTCTGGGGCCTGGCGAACGCTGGGATCAATGAGCCCACGTTCTTCGAGATGGCGAAGGCGCCGCAAGCGTTCAGGGTTTGGGCTTTAGGGATATAGGGTTTATGGGCTAGGGTTTGGGGTGTTGGGTTTAGGTTTAGGTCATTAGGGCCCAGGGTTTAGGGTTGTTCATGGATGTCTTGAGCTCTGAGCAGTCTCATGGCATTTTTTCCGGGTTGGGGTGTGCGTTCAACCGTCATGCATCTTACGCTGAGGCCAGGCGCTTCTGTCATCAGTTGATTCGGGTCCGACTGGATCGATGCAGTGTCTCGATGATAGCTCACCGCAGCTTGAAGGAAATTAAGTAGTACAAGATGCCATCATGTTTGCACGGTCTTTTGGATGATGGAGCGGTGCTTCTGGACAAGAAACAACGTGCAGTACTATTGCATGGTAGATGCCCCTTGTCAGACGGGTCCCCTGCAGTCGATCGTCTTGAGACCCTCTTGCCGAGAATGCCTTCTGGCATGTTAGCAATGTCCACTGCAATGTCCGGCGTCGTAGTAACAGTATAGAAGCTTATAATTGTGACCGATATTATTCCTTAGGGTTCCTTTTAATAATTCTACTATAAAGGCATTAAAGGGGCCCAAAACCTTTTGCTAATTATTGAATTCCTACTTTAGATGCCGAGCCCCGACCTCGGGCCCTGTGCAGGCGCAGCTCAGCCATCCAGGAGCCCTGGAATCCTTGGCAGCGCAGAACTCTTCAGGAGGGTTTGAGGGTTTAGGGACTTAGGCGAGGTTCCACCTGTGAGCCACTGAAGTCTGAGAAGCCTGTTCGAAACTCCGACAATCGAACTGTTCGGTTGACTCGAGATTTCAAAACATCACCGCAGGTGCGTTGCTGGCGAATGTTGCGTGGGCCTTCGCCTATGCCGCAGCGCTTTTGGGAAGGCGGTTAACTTTTTGATGTTTTTGCGGTTGATGGTTTGGATCGTTTAGGTTCAGATATTTGGGATCAGGAGCTTTCGGGCTCAGACAGCTCTTGCACTGCCAAGATGCTAGGATGAGCACTGCGTTCTCCTGTGTGGCTTCTGCCAGGCAGGAGAACGACGACGAGTTTCTTCAGTCGATTCGATTCGCCATGCCCTTTGTCCTGCAAGCAACTTCAATTCATCTGACTGGTTTATCAAACTTTGAGTCCATCACAGACGTGACTTACAGTCAGCTCAGAACTTTCTTATGTGCACAGAACCCCGAGGCCGAAGAGTTGTCACTCGCTAGCCATGACAAAGACAATCCAGCAAGTAACAGCTATGCTGTGACAGCAGTAGCAGTCGTCTTAAGATTGACTGACCTTCACAAGCATACTGAGACAAGAGGGCCCCATGAGCCCAGTCCTGCGCAGAACGGAAGCCGCAGGCGAAGGCTGGGCGCTGAAATGGGGCGGCGCTCGGCAGTGAAGGCGGCTCTGGTGTGCTGCAGTGGGTCATCGTTATTTCTTGACAGTATATGTGCTAAATCGTGTTTGGAAATGCACTCATGTGTGTAAGGCTTATCTACTTTTGTTTGCTACAGTTCTTCATGGCCACCATGTCATCTGCAATCGTTTAGATGTATGCTCGTTTTCAGATTGGGCTTACACTTGTACATGTGTACGTGTGCATATAGTGGGTTATCTGTGTTCCCGTTCCCATTTCTATGGCCATGAGCCGACCATGTGCGCATATACAATGATATATGCAGCGCGTTTACGTACATGTACACATTCCGTGGCATACATATATATATATACCTATAAGATCATATACATATATACAAAAATATATATATATATATACACACACACATACATACACTTGCATACATTCACATACATGCACATACATTCATGTTACATACATAAACATATAGTTACACATCATAAACATATTCATATACATGCCTGCGAACATATGTCTCCGTCTCACTCTCTCTCTCTCTCTCCCCCCTTGCGTTCTGTCTGCAGACCTCTCCAGCAATCATACGCGCGAGGATGCAAACGTACGGGCAATTTGCCACACTTGCATACTGCGGACGGATCCGCCTTGCCAGGTCGTATCGCGGCAGTAGATCTTCTGTTCGCTCTCGCCGGAGATGTGTGCCGGTTTAGTATCGGGTGTTTTGTTGGCGCGTTCCGTGCTGCTAAGCCACGGCCATGTCTCCTGGAGAGCTTGAGCACGAACCCAGTCGGAGGCACAGAGCTCCATGCTGCCAGACTCTGGTGGCGAAGCGCCACGACTGGAGCACCATTCCGGAGGTGACGCTGAGTGCACGAGGTTTTTCGCAGGTGACATCGGGAACCGCAGTCGGTGTCACGGAGTGACGGGGCTTAACTAGAGTAGCTACAGCAGAGTACTAAATCATTCGAGCCCCTGCAGGAGTGGCTGTGATCTACAAGCCTCCAGGGTGGGAGGCGCGGAAGGCATGTGTGGATACACGACTTTCAGGCGCTGGATGCCCTCAATGCAGTTGTGTGCGATCGAGGGAGCCACCTCTGTAAGTTCCCCTTGCAGAGCCACCCGAACCGCAAGGATATGTCTGAATTTTCTGAATCCCGAACTCCACCGCTTCTCGCGTGTCAACTCCTCAGTCCCATGCGTCAGGTGGACGGCAGTGAGACGCGCCAGACTTCGAAAGCCATGAGGTGGGGTTCTCGTGGCGTTTCCATGTCCATCGGCTGTCTTTATATGTGGCTTGCTGCAGGGGATGTACGGGTTAGGTTAACGCAATGTAAAGTCCTTTATAATGACCCTGACACACGAGGGTTTCCTCCAAGGGGGGGCCCGGCCCTTGTGAGACGTCTTCCAAGCTAGCAGCTAGGGCTCCAAGGCAGTTCTTCGCTCCTGGAGCCCTGAGGCAAAGCACGGCCTCCGACTGCCCTAGACCCTGAGGAGGGGCCCCTAAACTGAGAGAGCTCTGCAAAGGCTTTCCGATTTTGTGGCAGCCTCGCTGGCCTCCGAAACCGTGGGCAGTCGGGACCATGGATTCGGAGGCTCGCGGCAGTCGCTTGTGCGGTGGTGTTGCCATGGGTGCTGTACTAGCTGTATCCTCAGCACTATAGTTATGATCATGTGTTTGTGCGCGCTGCTTGCAAGTAGTTTTGTAGGATCACGAATCACTGCGATGTCATCTCTCCTACTATTTGCATGGTGCTGTTCTGTTCTCTTCTGACTCTTCTTCTCTTCAGGACTGAGGGCTGCAAGCTGGGGATTTGGGGGTTATGCCTTGAGCTGGCGGAGGATCCTCCAAGTCGGCAAGCAAAACTTTTGGGTTTTACCTTTTTTCTGCAGTCCGAGACGTCGTACAGTTTAGTCTTGCTTTCCAGCTGACCGTTGTCTACACCCGCGGAGAGTGCGCTTCGTCATCAGCCGGCATTATGCATTCTGCTAGGGGTTAAGGCCCAGGCCTCAGAGAGATTGTATTCAATACCAGTTTGTGATAGGAAGCTAGGCCCTCCAGCAAAGGATGCCTCTAGCCCAAGTTTGGTTTTCCTGGTTTGCAGGGCGCTTGGATGTGGCCTCATCGGGATTGGCCTCTTGGCATTCTGACTCCATGATCGGTTCAATGTTGAACCTGGCAGGTCAGACGGGACCGTCCTTCGCAATGCCCCTGCCCGAAACGTGTCCGTAGGACCCACCGGCAACATGGCTTCAAGCATTTCTTGCCGAAGTCTGCAAAGGGGCCCAGAATAGATAATTGCTAGAATCATATTACATGCGGGTGATTACAAGGATGGTCACACTCGCTAGAGCAACCGCGCGGATGCCATCCCAATCCCTTCACGCCATGTATGCAGATGCACAACTCAAAACGCCATATCATCCACGGCCCCCCCCCCCAATCATAAGTAGCTATCCTGAAGCTTTTCTCCAAATACCGCGTCCAGGGGACTCAGGGGCCTCAAAATCGAAGGCCCAAGATGCTCCCATCAGGTGCTTCATGCAGCGACTCATCAGGCTTTGATGGACCTCCGCTGGCAGCAGGCACCGTCTCTGAAAACGCTAGTCCGTAGCAGTCTTGGCGTTACTGGCATGGGCATTGCAGTGTTGCCGTACCAACAGCTTTGCCTCCCCAAAAGATACGACCCTGATGATCATGGTGATGCTGGTGATTATGCTGCTGCTGATGAAGATGTGATAACAGTGGCGATGGTGATGATGATGCCGACGAAGATGATGATCATCATCATGGTCCGGATTGTCATCATCATGATGACGGTGGTGTTGCGGACGGTAAGAATATGATCGGAGTAGTCAACCTCTCTACAATCATCGAGAGCGACCGCATCGACAATACGACGTGCTTTCCTGAATTTTGCTGTTGTCCGTCTCATGACTTGAGTATTGGCACAAACGTGGGTCAGGGCTTGGTCTTGCAGCGATTGAAGTGTAGGTTGAACGGCGGGATGGCTGGCAACTGGTAGGCCAAAATTGTGTTGGCTAGGCTTCTTGATCTGTATCTGGCCACTCCCATAGAGATGACTGTCAGCAGCAGCTTTGGTGATGGCGGTGCCCACCGGATTGCCGCAGGATACCCTTCGTGTTGAGCGGGAGTACCTGGCTCTCGTGCATGGGCCCCTTGGTCGCCTCTACACATAAAGCCATAGCAAAACGATACGATGCGCTGGGAAGTTGGAGTCAGTTGAGCTCAAGAGGCCTTTAGACTGCGCCGCGACGGTTGGCCCTCACAGTGAGACTGTACCTGCGTGGTCGATGCTGATGGCAAGAGCAGCTCTGCTAGTGGTCACACAATGGGGCATCGGCCCTGTGGAACTTGGCGTCTGGATTGCACCTTTGCTTGAGGTTCGTGGAGACCGGCCTCCGATGCTTGGACGATCGCCTGTCAGAAACTGAAGGCCGGTCGAGGTTTAGGGTTTTAGGACTTTGGGAGTTCAGGAGTTCAGGGTTCAGATGGGTTCAGCTCCACGTGTTCGCCGCGCTTGTTTTCTGAGCTTCTCTCGGGGCCCAAGCTCGGGATCTTCGGGCTGTCGTTGTTGGAAGGGCTTCTGCCGAACTTATTTGGGATGATGGACCTGAGGCCCTAAACTTTGCAAACCTTGAAAGCCCTAATTAAAGCCCCCAAAATCTGCTAATCCGCAGGCGGCAGCTCCGTGACCCAGAACGGCAGGCTGAGTCGAAGACGCTCGATTTCCACTGGTTTTGAGGACTCGGAAGGACCGTCTCTTTACGGGTTGAAGGATGGAGGGATTGGGGGTTTGAAGGGTTCGGCTTCTGGGGTTTTAGGGGGCTTAGAACGTGCAGTTGCTTGTGCTCGGAGCCCCGGGACAGTTTTTTGCCGTGTGATCGGATTCCGAGAGCACAGAGGGCCAGCAAACCAGGACCGCAATGAGATGGAGCAAAGAAGATCTAGATAGACGATAGCCCGAGAGGCAGAAAGCGGCGGTGCTGAGTACTTCTACAATTAACCCTTTTTGCTTAGCCACTGAAAACTCAACCCTTCCAAGCTTCTTATTCGAGGTGGGTTCCATGAAAACCAAGGTGCAGCCGTATGATCATGGGTCTTTAGACAAGAGCTGGTTCGCATGGCTGATTTTGTACCCTGAGGCTGGGCGCTTCCGATTGGCCACATTGCTGCTTCCTCGCCGCGGCTCGTGCAGAGATGGGATTAAGCTCAAGGTTGCTGCTCCGCATGGTCCAAGCTGCTGCTAATTTCTCGAAATCTCCGGAAAGGTTTCCGTTTGTTCTTGCTTGCCCTTATTTTCAACAGAGATACTGATATAAAAGGAGTTGCAGCCAAACATTGCCCGTGAAGCAGCTGCAGGAAAGGACACAGTAACCCATTGCCTTGACTTGTTTGAGGTTCATGTGCAGCGGGGGGGGGGGGAGGTTGCGACTTCTCTCCTGACGCGGCGTGGATCAATGCTCATAATGAGCTTTCCATCCATGACGACAAAGAACAACTCAAGTACTCGTGAGCGACAAGGCAAGAAGAAGCCGGTCTATTCCCAAGGGGCCCAAGTACCGATATAGTTGCTACTCAATAGATAAAAGGGCCCCAAATAAATGTATTTATGTATATACTGTTACCGATACGAAAGCATCGACCTGAGATTGAGGTGTACAGGACAGTGTGAGCTGAAAGCCTATAGAAAAGTATACGATAGTATGATATATAACATAGTATAATGAGTCTAGTATGGTATGTTATGGTAGAATATAGCTCAAGCATAAGGCTACAAGACAAGGTACACACTGCTGGCCGTGTCCATTCTCACCGGACGCCGGCATCAGATTCGTGTGCAGCTTTCGAGCCGCGGCTGCTGCTCTGCACGAAGAGTCGTGGGTTCCCATGTGGAATTTCAGTCTTCGATGAGCAAGGTGGCCAGATGTCTTGCTTGGAGCCGTCTGGACTACCAACCTTCAGGGCACAAGGAAACAAGGAAGCAGAGGCATTCGGAGTGCATGCATCATGGCACTTGGCATGGATGATATTCCGGGCTGTCGTATGCAGCTTCCGTGTTCTCTTGCACAGCACCATATTGGAAGTAATTTATCTGACCTTTCTAGGTCTTGTCTGGTTGACCTAGCTTGCCTATGCCTTGCGTGTGCGCGACAGGGTTTCACCCAATATTACATCCCAGACCTGACTTATGATGCAGGTTGTTATAGTATATAATATAATCTAATCTAATATTATATAATATTCTAATATAAGGCTAATTATATTATAAGGTTAATTCCCAAGCCAGGTTCTCACTGCACCTGGTAGCAAGTGGGCTCCAGTTGCTTCGACACTTGCGAAACTTAGGCCATCCAGTCGTTTGTGACGGGCGCTACGGTGCAGCATCCTTGAGCCAAGATTCCGCATGGCTTTTCGGCAGAATCAATCTGAAACTTTTCGGGGTGCTGAAAACATGCAGGGTTTCATTATGCCCTGCAGACAAAGTTTACAAATGCAGCAGACAATCGCGAGCAGCCCACATGTCATGAGTCGTTCCCACATATATGCATATGCAAATGGAGATGCAGTTCTGTTACATCTACTATTGTAAAGTATTTATGTTGCGCCTCACGCTTATTGCATTGTTGCAATCTGCGAGTGCTCCAGTTTCTTCCGGTCCAATAAAGCCCTATGGGATGAAGACCAACATGACGCAGAAGGCTAGAGCATCAGAATGCTTAGGCTTGGTCTATTAGTATATTTTAGTTGTATTACTATCAATACTATCGCTGGCACATGCTGTCACTACCATTTGTAGTGTTACTATTGGCACCATCATTCTGATGAGGCTGATAGTAACTTTGAAATCGTATGCCAATGTTGACATGGATGCTCTGCTTTCACATGCACTGGGACCACTAGGACTGGGATAATTGTTAAGGCAGTTATGGTAGCAATCAAGGACGCTCCACTGCAGATGCATTAGAAACGAGATGCCCACCATTAATTACGCCTGCCAGCACTGATACTCTCGTTGCTATGCAGCTTTGAAACCCAACTAGTGTTACTCATGCTGGCGGTCGACGAAGCTATCATCACAGCCTCCTGTTTTTTTAGCGGTCATCTACCTGACAAATGCGAGGGACTGAACAGCAATGAGGCGAGGGAAATGCCTGAAGTCTTTTCACGCAACAGGTCGCTTACTGTTGAATTTAATGTTAGAGCGTTAACACACATACACGAACATGAAGCATATGAATGCGCGAATCTACCTGTGCATCTTTCTATCCATCTGTCTATCTAACATGTAGTCATTTTGCTGTCTATCGACATACATGCTTGATCCGCGCGCGCGTGTGTTGCGATTCTGTGCCTGTATGCTTATGTGTACATTTAGTCGGAACTCCGAGGTCCTTGGCTAGAGTTGCGGCGTATGTTTATAATTGTTTATACGCACATGCATGCACAAATTCATGCCATGACCTTTAATGCCGAAACTCGGCTCAAGGTGCTCAAGGCTGTTTCTGCACCGCAGCCGCCTGCGATGCATGGATCTCAATTCTAAGGCGCGCCAGCTCGGGTCAGTTCGGACAGGTGTTGAGGCATGCTGCTTTAAGAGAGTTCGTGTGAGTCAGCCATTTGAGGCCGGAGGCTAGGAAGGATAGGTCGGAACGGGGCAGGAGAAGCCCGGAGCAGCGTGGCTTCAGCGGGAAACGGCAAGCCCACGACAGCATCATTCTTTCAGGGTTGCTTCAGAAGGATCGACTGACACGCGTCTCAAAGCAGCTCTCCTTTCCTCTTTCGCCTCCGTGGGATGATGTTGCAGCTGTTGCATTGAATCCAGCGGAGGTGGGCACAATAAAAAAGATTTCGTCACCTTCACTGGCCTAAGCCCGAGGATGCCCCAAAACCACCCAGGCTCCACTCCCAGAGGACTTTGGAAAATTCTGATACCAGGAGCTGGATGTCCAGGCGCCGCTGCCGGCGGATCTCCTTGCAAGCCTGGAGCTGCTCGGCCTGGGGAAGCCACTGAGGAGTCACTGCCGAGAGATCCCCTGGGTCCCTGGTCCCTTGTGGCAATGGATCTTGCGTGTAGAGTGAGCACGAGCAGCAGGATCTGAAGATGCTTTGCCAGTGCCAGGCTTCTCGGATCCCGGGCGCCTGAGCTGCTTCGGGACGTCGACCGCTGCCTAGGAGAGTTGAGGCTTCGGGTGCGCGAGGAGCGGCAAAAAGTCGCCCAACGCCGGCTTGGAAAGGGTGTCCATGCCTGTATCTCACTCTGGGTGTGACAGAGAACAGAAGCAAGTTCGAGCCATTTCAATTCTGTGGGTCCACTAGTTCACTAGATGTAGAAACACACATTATGTATACAGGAAGAATTTCAGGAACGCCAGCACATGTATAAGTAAATGTACATGCATAATCATGTAAAGCACTTGTCTATAGGCGTATGTGCATATATACGTACCTATGTGTATGTATATATATACACACATAATATGTGTGTGTATGTATGTATGTATGTATGTATGTATGTATGTGTGTGTGTGTATGTATGTATGTATGTATGTATGTATGTATGTATGTATGGTCGCCCCCGATATAAATATAAATATACATATATATATATGTATATTCTATCTATCTATATATATATATATATTGGTAA